GGGAAAGAGAGGGGATGCCAACTTGCGCGTATTTTACAAAATCTGCAGTTACCGAAGTGACCTGCCTAAGCATGGAAATGAAAGCTGAGCCCTGGTGCAGGCAGCCAGAGCGCTTCTCACTGCCGTGGAGCCATTTATAAAAAGCAGCTGAGCAGGATGCAAACACTTTTCAGGGGAGCCCATTTCTTTGCTTGGATATATTCTGCAGAGGAGATGAGCTCTGTATTCTGCCAGCACAGCAGGCTTTGCTAAGTGTGTGGCAGGCCTAAGGGCACCGGTACACGGACATGTAATTATGGAAATAAATAGCAAGGTTCCCAAGCAAGCAGGCTCGGGAGCACAAGGCAGCCAGTTCTCACTGTAACCTCTACAGAGCCAAAAGCAACTTCAAGGAGCATGACACAGCCGTCAGGGGGACGTGCCAGAGAGGCAGGTGCCAGCTCCTGAAATAAGTCCTACAGCTTGTCAACAAAGCCCTGTTATCTCTCTCCAGAAAAAGACTAATAGTGGGCTGAGGCCTGGCACTGACAAAATACCAGTCTGCTGGAGTTGGGATTTGGATTAGCTGCTGATTTTGTTTTGATTTTTTTTTTTTGATTTTACTAGGATAAGCTCTTTCTTCTGTCCTCTCACAGTCCAAGCTGAGAAAAAGCAGGATCTTCCACAGATGAAGCCCACATCCTGCTGTGAGCTTGTGTTAAGGGATGTGTTCAGAGGTAACAGGGACTACTCTTGCAAGATGAATTACAGGCTCAGAGCCTATATGAGGGAAGGAAGGGAAAGACTCAAGAGGAGAGAAAGGTGTGTGAGGAGTGAGAAAAAAGATGAGAAGGTCACTGCAAGACTATTAGAGCATACTTTTATGCTTTTTACTAGATGCATATGATTTTTCTGTGTCAAGAAGAGGACGTGTACATGGCATTTGTCCTATGCTAACACACTCTGAAAGAACAGAGCATCAGTCACTCACTGTTCCATGTCCTACATTAGCTAAATTTTACAGAGGCATCCCTCCAAGTAGGGAATAACTCCATGCATCACAGCTCAGGTTTGACAGGAGCATTAAAAGGCAATATATATTTTGATATATCAATTCAAATTCATAGGTAACAGAGGTCAGACGTGATGTAAAAAAATTGGTAAAGCTGTTGTCTGTAAAAAAGTTGAATTTGTGGCCCTCTAATAATCCTCTAATAATCTAATAATCCATCTTATAATCCTATATAAAGATCTGATTCAAACAATATAAGCTTGTACTAGCTGATATTTTAATTACCTTCATCTCATTGCCTTGGAAACCTCCTGTCTTCTTGCATTATAAGTCCTGGCACATTTGACACTTTAATGTAGAAGATCACGTTAGAAAGACAGCAAACTTTTATTGGTGTTGTCTTCATTGCTATACCCTCAACCTCCATTATTTGACATATTCACTCTACATATTGCCCAGCTTCCCTTAGACATAATAGGAAGCTTATTCCTGGCTTCATTCTAGTCAAGAAAATTAACGCATAAGCAAATTGTATCTCATACAGGGCCAGATCTTTTTAGGGATTTTTGTGCTTATGAGACAAAACAGCACAGGCAATTCTCTCTCCAGAAAAGTATACCCATGAATGTTAACAGAATGACTGCAAGTTCCCTCGTACATACTCGTCCAAGTAGTTTACACCAGAGGTAGAGATAAGGTAATTCCTTCACATACAGACTGAGCCAAAGGCTGAAAGGCAATGGGAATCTTCTCAGCAGATTTTAGACCAGACTTTAAAGAGAGGAGGTACCTCCAGCTCCATAAACAGCAGTTTTTGCCGTTACCTTAAGTCCTGTCTCCCAATCTCACTGGGAGTTTGGGCGAAGCAGAATGCTTAAATCACGCCGTTATTTTTGGCTTCATTGGTGAGATTTGTAATGACTGGCAGTTCTCATGGCAGAGATAGCAGCCCTTGTTACAGGAGGCTGAAGTTATCAAAAAGTCAGTCATTATTAGCTTAGTCAGCCTGGACAAAATCAGCTTAGTTGTTTAGAAGAGCATGCTTCCACAGTCTCAGTATGATACAGTTAAACTATCCATTCCTTTGCAAACTTAGCACTGCTGGAGTTAGGGTTTTCTTTGTTTCATGAAAACAAGAAATGTAACTAGTCCATTCAAAATGATACCATTGCAGCATGACACTGAACTGTTTCATTTCCTTGCAGAGTGCTTTGACACTATGCAGAACTCAAGCATTTCCCATGCAGGAAAACAAAGAGTAACTTGCTTTATTTACCATCATTTCCATTTATAAATTTGTAGTACATTTGCCCCAAACCAGGCAAACATAATGAATTTTAAGCAATATCTTTTGGATTGCAATTACACACCCACCCCCACCCCC